GATACATATACTCAGTTCGATGATAAACACTTATATTTTTCTATATTCCAATTGTGTTTAAATGATATTGATCGAATAAGACGAAATGAAAGAATAGTTTTAGAGCCACGATTGAATGGAGAATCACTTATTTAAATTATCTGCTCCATCAAGTGGTCAAACATCAAATTGATTCGCTTGAATTAAATTTTGTATGACGTTGAATTAAATTTTGCTGACTCTTAACCCAATTATATAATAAAAACAATTCTCATTAATTATCAAAAATAAACTTATTTAGGAGAAATAACTTCATTTTTATTTGTTACAATATTATGTGAATTGATAAGACTACATTTCCAAATGCGATTAAAAAAAATACTAGCTTTAGTCTTACGCCATCTGTGATTAATTAGAACTTAATTTTAATGCATATGTTATATAATTGGATTTTAGTAGATTAAGATAATTCAGTTAATTCAAAATTAAAATAACAAAATTTTATACCCATAAATTCCCATTTATATTTATGGATATAAAATTTTTTAGACAATATACAAAATGTGAATGTGAAGATTAAGCAATAAAATATATTTATATCTGAAATATCAAATATTATGATATTTTAAGTTATTTTTCTCCTAGCATATATAAAATGTAAATTTTCGCAATAGTATTGTTCCTTTTCAAGGAAAAAAGTTAAACACAAATATGTAATTTAGATTTATAAGAAAGTGTCAGTTTTTTTTTAATTTGCATTATATTTGAATATTCAAATAATTATTTCTACATATTTCTTTGTTATTTGGCATTGTTGTTGTTCGAAGAATTTAATTAAAAGCAAAAAAAAATACAGTATTCTTTTATATGTTGGAAGTCACACGCACGTTTTATGGTTATTACTTACTGTGCAACCAATTCGTTATCTAAAAGTTTAACCAACTGAATGTGTGTTAAGCTGACAACAGCTTCGCCAAATTCAAATTGACTTCCTGCAGCGTTCCACCTATTTCGCAGTAGAATAGTTTCATTCTTCTTCTTTTTCTTTCTTCCTGTCCTTTTCTCATTATTTACAGTGAATAATAACGGCCTAAACAATATATTATTATTCCGAAAAAAAAAAAAACAATGGCTTATTAAAAATTTAAATGTGTCGGTAATGTAAAATGATTTTCACATTATCGCATTGTTGTCTTCATATATTGGAAGTTGAGTCCAACAATATTTACTTTGATAAGGAGTTACAAATACACCCTTGAGGATGCTTGAATAAATATTGGGGACGATAAGCGCACCATATTTCTGCAGTGTCGTATAATGCGTCTATACTAACGAACGGAAAATTTACTGCATATATACACAAAACATTTTTCGTACTACTTACAATACAGTGTGAACAAATCAAATAAAATACAAGATGGAATATCGATACTTCTTATTAACTTTAGTTATGTGCGCGTCGACCACAGGTAAATATATTTATTTTAATATTTCTTAGATGTATTTAAATATAAGCTTTAGTAGGTTTCGATGTAAAAATACTGACCAATTGTTGCGAAATGGGCAATAAAGCTGCAGATGACTCAATGGAATGTAGTTTTCAAGCTCCTATACCAAATATCAAAAAGGATATGGAAGCTTTGTGTTTGGGAACGATGGGCACATGTTGCCAGAAGAGATTAAAAGAATCCGAATGCAAAGCGGGACTAGAAGATGCCAAGAAAGGCTCTTGCAATTCCTTTAAACCAGAAAGAAAGGTTTGATTTCCATTATTTTGTTATAATTCTTATCAATATTATCTTTTATTTAAGGCTTGTTGCAATGCTTGTTACTACGGAAAAATCACAGGAAAATCGGGTGGATCTTGCGTAAACTTCATGGGACTTTCTGATCCTTTGGATAAATATTACGATAACTGCTGCAAGGAAGCTTTAAATAAAGCAACAACTATAAAACCGAAATCTTCAGAAAACATCGTCGATGAAGGTATTTAACGACTAAATGAAATAACGATATGAAATTTTTAAATTTTTATATCCAGGTCTTGAAGATATCTGTGACATAGGGCAGGTATGCGCGCAAATTTGCACGCCAACTAAAACTTCTTATAAATGTGATTGCAATGAAGGGTACACCTTGATGGCGGATGGAATGTCTTGTAAGGAATTAAAAAAGTCTTTGAATTCCAAAAATAACAGGTTGGTATTTTAGCTATTTTTGTGATCAAATGAAAAATACACTCTTATTGTAGATGTGAGAAGCATAATCCATGCCAACACAATTGCACTGATACTGGAACATCAATCATTTGTACATGCCAAGTGGGATACATGTTGGCCAAAGATCAAACAAGTTGCAAAGGTAGTACTAAACGATCGTACTAAACTTTTTTAGTATTATAATTACTTATTTCAGATATCGATGAATGTGCTCTCTCATTACACGACTGTCATCAAAATGAAACTTGTATCAACGGTGATGGATATTACGAGTGTGAAGATCTGGGAGATGACTCGATTGACGAGATTCCAGATTGCGATGTTGGTTATAAATATAACTGGGAAAAAATGGAATGCGAAGGTTTCTTCAAATATATTATAGTTGATTTGCATATATTATAATTACTTTATATACTTTAGATATTGACGAGTGTACGATTCCTTTGATCTGCGATAATTCGCAAACGTGCATAAATTCAATAGGATCATATAAATGTCAGACTGTTTGTCCTAAAGGATTTATCTACAAAGCTTCGATACAGACATGTGCTGATGTCGATGAATGCATTACTGGAGCCAATGATTGTAATAGGGAGTCACAAATTTGTTTAAATAATAAAGGGAGTTACGCTTGCATCGACAAAGCATCCAAGACAACGTGTCCTCCAGGTTTTAAAATGAATATGGCTACACAAACTTGCGAGGGTAAAACAGTTTTGTTTAAATATTTGCAAAATTTTAAAATTTCTTTTTGAAGATGTTGATGAATGCATTGAGGATTTCGTCGAATGTTCTGATGGTGAGGTTTGTATCAACGAAGAAGGAGGATATTCTTGCCAGCCTAATCCCGCATTCAGTCATCGGACTACTTATTACGAACAACCTACCATTAAATTTACCACAGTTAGAACTACTGTACGAACGACAACTCCAAAGGCCACAACAAGAACGACTACTACTAAGGCTACAACAACGACCACAACTACTCCTAAACCTACAACGACTACAACAACCACCACCACTCCTAAACCTACAACCACTACTACTACAACAACTACTACCCCAAAACCTACAACTACAACAACTACTACTCCAAAACCAACAACCACTACTACTACAACCCCAAAACCTACAACCACTACTACAACAACTACTACTCCGAAACCTACAACCACTACTAGAAGAACTACTACTTCAACAACTAGAAAACCAATATACACTTTTAATCCAAAATTATACCATACAATAGAACCATCTATCCCAGCCTTCCGAAAACCTAATAGCCCAACAACGTGCTCTAAAGGTTTCAAGTACGAGTACCATACGAAACAGTGCATCGGTATAAAACACATTTTTTTCTTACTGACTGACATAAAATAACAATTTTGTTTTAACTCCATTAGATATTGATGAATGTGTAGAAGATGTTCTGGCTTGCGATAAATTACAAGACTGCTTCAATACCATTGGAAGCTACGAATGCCGCTGCCAGCTAGGTTACACGAGAGATCAGAGTACAGGAAGTTGTGTGGACATAAACGAATGCCAACTGGATGCTTACGACTGTTCAGAAGGACAAAGATGTGATAATACCATTGGTTCTTATTTGTGTTCGAGAATTGCAGGATGTGGAACTGGATATACGTTCAATTACGCTTCAGGCGATTGCGAGGACGATGATGAATGTGCGTTAGGAACTCATACATGCGATAGATTGGGTCCAAATTTCAAGTGCAGAAATATCGCAGGATCATTTAGGTGTGAAAGAATCAGGAGGATTTCCGTGTACATACCAAATCGTCGTCAGCCGACGAATTATACAATTGTCAGCGGGCAAACAACAAAATGTTTACAAGGATACTACATGGATTCGGCAGGCAGATGTCAAGGTAAATACACCTTGATGTTCTTCTGCTTGTAATAAAATATAAAATTTCAGATATTAACGAATGCGAAAGCAATCCCTGTAAAAAAGGTCAGAACTGCATTAATCAACGAGGCCGCTTCGAATGCGTATCTAATATACATTGCCGAGGTGGATACGAGCTCAACGAAGAAGGAAATAAATGTATCGATATTAATGAATGTATACGAGGTACTCATTCTTGTAGCAGTACTCAGATCTGCAAAAATTATCCAGGATATCATGTGTGCTCTTGCCCCATTGGATATAGATTGGATAACAACCAATGCATCGATATAAATGAATGCGAATATCACGTATGTCTTATTTCTTTTCAGAATTTTATATATATTTCTAAATTTTATATAATACTTTTAGCCATGTAGCCGTTATTCAGATTGTCACAATACCGTGGGATCCTTCAAATGTATTTGCAAAAATGGTTTTAGGGAACTCGATGGCAAATGCGACGATATTGATGAATGCTCAGAAACACCTAGCTTATGTCATCAGAATTGTGTCAACAATTGGGGCGGATATCGCTGCTCATGTAATTCTGGATTCACTTTAAACAAGGACAACAGGTTGAACAATACAAGTAATTTGAATAATTTTATTTAATTGGGTTTTTAGGACGTGCACGGATGTCAATGAATGCGAGAAATTCAAGGATAATAATCTATGTGTAGGAAATTGCGAAAATATACCGGGGAGTTACGTATGCAGGTGTCCGCCTGGCTACAGACTTGGGACTGATGGTCGCTTATGCTTAGGTGATTGGAATAACTTTTGCCAAATTAGTCAATTTAAAAATTGATTCCAAAATGAAATAATTTACGTGGTCATTTTGAGTTGGCTCAATGCGAATTAATTAACTTGTAAAAATTAATATTACTTTTTTTTTTATTAGATATTGATGAATGTCTTTCGAATCCTTGCCATGGCGTCGATACTATTTGCTTCAATACAAGAGGTGGTTATGAATGCCCATCAATTGCTTGTCCGCCTAATTACATTAGGGACCCCAATCAAAGAAGGTATAATGTAGCTTGTATTGACAAGTAGAACAAACATTCAAACAATATTTAATGTTTACAGCCGCTGCAAACGGAACACAGACCTTTGCAACTACGCAGGAAACTGCATGAGCATGCCCGAACAATACAGCTTTCATTTTATAACTATGTCATCAAACCTACCTCTCACAGACGGTCAAACGAAATTCTTCCAAATCAAAGGTCCAAGCTTCAGTTCTTCATCATCCACCTTCAACTTTAAACTGCAAAGGGTCATCTGTCCATCACACGTTCAACCGGCGAGCATTCATCACTTCCGTTTAACGCGTGAACCACAGAAGGCAACAATATCATTCTTAAGGCCATTGGATGGACCTCAAGAAATCGAACTAGAAATAGAGATGCAGCTGTACCGCTACGGAAAATACACGGGCAACATGATCTCGCGCATCTTCATATTCGTTACAAAATATCGTTTCTGAAAAATTACTTAACTAATGGTGTCGGTACAATAATAATTATAAACAATAATAAAAACCAATATGTACAAACATAATTTTTGTTAATATTTAATTTTTTTGTAATGGTATAATTACAATTGAATTCTTTGCCGATTTTATAACATTCCATCTGCCGTATCGATGTTCCGAGGCGACTGCCGCAATCAAATATTTTCCATCACTTGTGAATTTTAAATCATTCACAAATCCAGTGAGAGGTATGCTAAACATTTCTGAAATATTTTTGCAACCTTTCTCCAAACACCATAGTTTTATTGATCCATCGTGCGATCCTACAATTCAAAAAATTTAGTAATTTATAAAGATTATTATAATAACGCTTAGTACCTGATGCAATTAAATCAGTGTTAACAAGGGTAGCAATTGATGTAATCCATAAAGGTTGGCCATTAGTACTATCCACTCCATGAGCAACTTTCACTGAACATAGTGGTTTCTTTCTTCCCATTCCCCATACGCAAATCTGTCCATCGTCACCACCGGATACAAAATTACCTTCGTTGATATATTTAACGCAATCTATACTGCCAGTATGGCCGTTAAAAATTAATTGCGATTCATCAACAAACTTCCAAATTCTCAATGAATGATCTCTACCACCCGAAGATAAAGCCCTCTCTTTACTAAGCGAGTCAATAGATGTAATCATATCCATATGTCCGAAAACACTTTCAACATATGACATTTCATCAAGAGACCAGACTTTAACAGCCTTGTCTTTACTCCCTGAGTAGAGAGTATGAGTGTCCTTACGAAACGTTAGCGCAGTCACGCTGCTCCTATGTCCTTTCAAAGTATGAACATGTTTTAGGTTTACTGGGTTCCAAATCTGTATGTTTTGTGTCTCATCTCCTACAGCCAAAAACTTGTTATCCGAAGAAATTGCTATACTCATTATACTTCTGGAATGACCAACAATGCTGCTCTCTGTATTTTTAGAACTGAAAGGTAAACCTAAAACTTTCTTCTTTTCTTCAATAGACCCTAAAATACCAAATATTTCAAAATATTTCAAACAAAAAAATTACATTATATTACATTTAATTAGACCTCCATCCTTGCTTCCACTAAACATGAATTTGTTGTCGGATGAAATGCAAAAGCATGTTATACAATTCTTATGCACATTGTTTCTTAATGTAACAATTTGGTTTTCATCATATCCTGTATATTTTTTTGCAACAAACAACTTTAACCTTCCTGTTTGACTCAAATAATCTTCTTGCAATTTCTTTTGGACTAAATCACCTCTCAAATTATCATCCAAAGTTTGGTTTTCTATTTTTCTTTGCTCTAAAATCAACTGTATGCATTATGGAATTACTATAATATTTTTAAAGTAACTTACCTAACTTTTTGATTTCATCCAAATAAATCTTCGCTAATCTGATCTTCTTTTCTTGAGCAGTTTCATGCTCGTCTTCAGAACTACTCCTGTTGGCATCATCATTTAGATGTGATTCATCTTCACTACTTGTGATTTCGTCATTATTTACTTCAGGTTTCTTGGGAGCTTTCCTTTTTCGACTTTCAAAAGAGCCCTACAAAATGATAACAAGTTATAACCAAAATCAAACAAACAACAAATATGTTGATATGAACAATGATAAAATTACCTTCTTATTAAAATTCTTTCCACTTTGCTTAGGTCTAATGAAGAAAGACATTGTTCAAGAGTTTATTGTAACTAACACGTTTATAAACACACGTATGACAACTTTTTAGGTTAGAAACTCCGCCAGGATACACTGGTTGCCTCACTGCAAGGACCACGAGGATCTTGACAGTATTTGAAATACCTCCCACCTCTACCTTAAAGTAATATCAATAGTGACCGGTAGAGGTCATCAAAAAGTAAAGTTTATAATTTTTGTAAATATCAATGAGGCTAATCATTGATACTTACAAATTATCACCGTTTTACTGTCTTTTAGTGTCTTTTCACTATATTATAATAGCTACATAAAATAGTAGAATTTTCAAATTTATTGAAAAAAAAACAAACAAAAGAGAGCGCTTACATCCTCTTGCTAAACGTCTAATTTGAATTTTCACTTATTTTATTGGTTTTTGCAATAGGTTGCAATAGGTTGTCCGTCGAGCGGTCGCGTTTCAATTGGTTTATTGAATTTCATCTCGCAACATCCATGTAAAAACAAATGCTGTCGGTGGCGTCGGTGTTTTATTAGTAATAACGCATTTTTGAGAAGCTGCTCACATTTCCTCACTCTTTACAAACCTTTGCTTGTTTTCTACTACTTTGCACTTAGTTTATTAAAATGCATTTAAGTGAGTATAGTTGTAACAAATCTTAACAGATTTTGTAAAATTGAATTGTTTTCAGAGAAACTTTTATCGAAGATGGCATTTGCCATGACCAATAGGCAGTATTATCTATATCCTAAAAAGCCATTCACCATCCTAGTGGAAGGCAACATTGGAAGTGGCAAAAGCCTATTCCTTAATCATTTTAAACGCTACCCATCCATGAAGGTGTTTGATGAGCCTATCCATGCATGGAGAGATTGTGGTGGACATAATTTGTTAGATCTAATGTATAAAGATCCTGAGAAGTGGGGGTTCAGCCTTCAGTCATATATTCAGCTGACGATGCTTGAACAACATGTGAAGCCTATCAAAGAACCAATAAAGTTTATGGAACGATCAATCTTCAGTGCAAGGCACTGTTTCGTTGAGAAACTAATGAAAGATGGTATGTTGACCCAGGAATCTGCAGCAGTTTTGGATGAATGGTATAAGTGGATCATTAATAATGTCGACATACCAGTTGACTTAGTAGGTAAATATTTACATACATTTATATTTAATATCAATGAATTAATTTAATAAATTTCAGTTTACATGAGGACATCACCGGAGATTGTAATGCAGAGAATTAAGGAGAGGAACAGACAAGAGGAGAAGAACATCACATATGACTTCATAAAAGATCTTCATGAAATTCATGATACCTGGCTATGTGATACAAAAACAGACACCAAAAAATTGCCATTGGTAATATTAGATGGTAATGTTGACAAGAATAATATGGAACAGGAGTTCCGAAAATATGATTCCTACATAATGGACTGCATTTCAACACTTAGTTAAGTTAATTATATAAAATATGTGTTTGTTACTTTAGCCAAAGTTAGTTTAATGTTCTATTTTTGTTAATTATTTTATAATATTTGAATTTAAATAAAGAAGTGTGAACAATTACTGTCTCTTTACACATCTTCAGAAATTAGTTTGCAGGTTATAAGTATAAATGAATTTAAAATACATCAAGAACATTTATTTTGATTCTTTTTGTATGTAATAAATATATAAAACTTAATAAAATATGACGATTTTTAAAGCATGAGATTACAATTACACAAAAATTTTCTTGGAAAGTCTTCGAACTGGATCTCTGTTGCCCGATTCCCATAGAACTTTAGCAAGTCTACCCAAGAAAGCTTGATCTGGGTCATTTCTAGTCCAATCCAAGAGCAATTGAAAAACTGCTTCTTTAACCCCAATTTCCTTATTGTCTTCATAGAATTGCTCTATTTGTCCATCAGAATAGTTTAGATGTTTTCCAACTCCTTTCCAATTTGATCCAATATGTGTTGCAACATACATAATATGTTCTCTTTCCACAGGGATTCTAGATTCAAACAACTGCATAATTTTGTCAGTTTTCATTATATTCTCCGTTGGTTTTTCTTTATTTCCTAAGTTAAAGGTATAAGTAGACCCAATCTGTATACCATTGGAATTTGAAATATTGATAACATTGGCATAAGCTGCAAAGTTACAGAATTATATACTGTATTATCAATACATATATCTTACTATTTGTTGGTTTAGGTTTCGGTTTACTTTTCTGTCGTGTGGGTGATGGATCTGATACTCTTGGTTTCTCAGTGAAGTCTTCCACTTCAGGATCAACATTTGTAACCTCCTCAGGATCACCTCTTGGTGGACTTGGGCAGGCATCGGTCACAACTTCCTCAATAATAGAAGACATTGCCTATTTCTTATAAATATTGGCATACAACTTGAACCACTTTCTGGAATGAATAAGAAAATAAATAGCACTGAGCTACACAAAGCAAAGGAATCCCATAAACCAGTGTCATTTAATAACCAATCAAAGATATACTCAAAATAATGAGCGCCAATTTCAAATTCACTGATTAACCAAATTTATATCCAATTATTATATAAATAATTTTATCCAAACTTTTTTTAGGGTTTCAATTCAACCATAAAGTAGATATTGTATTTTGAAATTATTTTTTCTTATTTAATTTCCACTATCAGACTAAAATTAATTATTCGAACTAATTGTTAAATTTGTTAACTTTGCCAATTGAATTCCAAGGTTAAAATAAATTTACTTAAGCTAATAGACTCTTGTCTATTATTACCAGTACTAATCTGATACTAATGGTACTAATATGATAAGCATATTAGTCAATTTGTTATTATGATTATTGTGTTTTCATGTTATGTATAGAAAAAAAAATAAGATTACACTTATATAAGAGATATTTATTTAATTACATTACTAGAAGAGATATCATTTCTTACTGGCTACTATCATTTAAGGCTAACTTAATTAATATTTTCTTAGTTTTTATTTCACTCGAGACCATTTGATCCTTAGTGAAATAGAAAATAATACAATGGTTAATTAAAAATAGTGTAGCTTAGATAGCACAGTTATTTAAAGCCATTAATAAAATTTTACTTATAAACTATAAATTTTTAATTGTTTTAAAATTTACTCTTTTGTATAATTTGATAGTAAAATACACCGAATTTACTAGAAGACGTCAGTCTTAAGACATATGTAAAGTTTTTAAACGAAGAGCGTCTATGAAGAATAGTTCATATAAATATAATATAATAACAATCTAAAAATAAAAACATCTTTTTTCTAAAGTTAAACAAAAATAAAATTACGTCAAGGTTCAGGTACAAATATGAAGTACAAGAATCTTATAATTATGTTTGAGTGATTGGTAGCGGGAACACCTGAGTAACTTCGCCGATGCCCTTCGCGGTTCCCTCGCGAAAGAATAACCTTTGACCGACAGTTACGTGCTCAGGATGGCTTTTGAACTTGAATACTATAGAGGCTCTATCATTTGTTTGGATGCAGTCTGCTCCAAAGATGCCGATGACTGTAGCAGTCTGGCGAATACTGCCAATGTGTACTGTAGTTTGAAAACTTGGATAAATTGCAGTTGCGTGGAATAGCACAGAGACGTTGGCTTGAAAGAACAAACAGCCAGTGATGTTCTCGTCGCACTGCTGCAGCAATACCATGCCATTCCTTAAATGATTTACTTGACGTGTCAGCGAAATAGCTGCACTCTGACCAGCCCTTACGGATCTGCAATGAACGCGATTTCTGTGTATGGACTTCACAACGACGTCTTCAAAGCTCCCATTTTTCATTGGACCTAGTTTCATCTTCATCCCCTCGCTTATAATACCTTTCACCAGTAGCCCACCCATCACTTGTATGTCGCCTGCATGAAAATTTTCGTCTATTTGAAATTCCGGTTTCTCCTAAGAAATATAATAATCAGATACTAGTCCTCTAGAAATTCAGTTAAGTACCTTCTCTAGAAGCTCTTTCTCTTTGGAACTGACCCCTGGCGGTAGTGCATACATGAACTTTAGCAGTAAATTCAGTCCTTCTCCTGTGACATTAGATACACAGAAAATGGGAACAATGTTCTGACTCAATTGATTCGAACAAGCTGTTACGACGTCATCAATGTTATTAACCACAAGCGGTCTTCTGCAACTTCCAACTAACTTTAGCAACGTCTGCAAACTTTCCAGCGTTTTATGTGGATATGTAAGATCGATCTTAGTAACGACAATAAAGAACGGCACGTTCAAAGCTATTGCCAAGCTGAGATGTTCCTGTGTCATACCAACTACTCCAGCGGTGCCAGAGACCTAAAATGAATTAACCATTAGTCTGTTCAATGGAAACATAGCATTTTCATCTTCAGGTTGAACTTAATATTTTATATTGTTAAAAACTATTCCAAAGATGATCTTATTAATATAAGTAATTTAAAATTTACCACAAGCATGGCATGATGCGGCAAGTAACCAGAGAGACCGTGGACCGTAGTATGGATGTACTTCCTGTGCCCTGCCAAATCTAAGAAAGTAACAAGCTTTGTCGACTCATCACAAATCTCTTCAGCTGTCATACACTTATCATAATTAATTGCATCTCCCTATAATACAAAACCGTATTTACAAATGGAATACGTAAAAAATAATGAAAAAATCAACTTTAGAATTAAAACCAAGGATCTCGTGTGAGATAGAGGACGTCCGGCCGCTCTGGATCTCGTGCTTGTGTCTGAACATGTTAAGACGAGCTCTGCCGCGTCCATTGTCAGGACTGCCCTGCGTTAAGACACCCAGTAGCGTAGACTTCCCAGCATCAGCATTGCCCAAGACGGCGATTCTTATCTCAATGTTATTCTGATCATCGGGAATCTGAAAGTCAAAATTGGTGATCAATTAGTATCCGAAGATCTTTACGCGCCGCCATAAGAGAGCGATGATTCTTTTTTCTCCGCTTTTACCTGATCCCAAAAGCCCAATTTTATTTATTTGATTCCTGTAACGTCCGTTAAAATTCAAATAAAATACAGAACATACAATTATTGGGAAGTACTACTAGGATTTGATTTTTTCTTTTGCAATTCGAAAAATCCATGCATTATATTTCGCGCGCTTTTTTTTTCATCGCTTTTATTATATGAATTATATATTATTGGGTAATAGTGTTTGATCAATTTTAATATAATATAATACCTTTCTGACTAGAACCTCACAAACATTCTTGTGATTGTCCAACACTCGTTGTCTTAGGATGGTTGTGGATGCTCCAAGTTTAATGGCCATTTGCTCCAGAGTGTGTAAACTGTCCTTCATGTCTGCATTGCTTAAGCCAGCTAGCATGCCATTGTCTTCTACTCCAATTTCATAGATTGCCTCCCCTTGACCTTCCCGCAAGCGCCATTTCATCTAAATTAATAAATGTAATGAATTAGTTTTATGCTATATTGTGCCACTGACCTGTGTCACTAGATGCTGGAACCGTTGTCTTGAAGGATTCACTATTTTAAGCTTATACTCTATGTTTCCCACTTGTGGTTCTGGAGGCAAAGATGTGGGATGGAACAAACCAGTGTGGTCAATACTGTCCCCTATATCCTCCAAAGAGGATCCGAACAGATTCATGAGATCCATAATCGATTTACTGGAACAAACCATTCAAATCCATATTGTGATTTCAAGTGATGCAATGGCATGTAAAGTGAAAGTACTAAATTTCATAACAAACAGAAAGGTTGTGTGAAAGGTAGTCAAGTAGATAGGTAGGAGACCGCGCAAAATGATAAAGGTGGACGATGATAAAGGCTTACCGATGAGATAGCAAAACAATTTATATTTATATTATTTGTTAAGCTGCTTCGAACTTGGCAATTGGGATTCGCGCTACTATTGTCTCTGTTTATTTACACACTCTCAAAACATCTGCTCACCTACCTTCTTTTTTTCCTTTACGTTCGGTTTTATTTTTGTTTACACTATACTGCCTGGCCGATCCAACAAAATTATTTTAGGCATCACTAAAAATACTCATCACGTTACTTTAAAATATCCAACAAATATTACAATTGCATCACATCATTCTCACTAGAAGTAATAGATATTGGCCTAGCAACTAACACTCAACACGGCTGTTGTCAACAAACAATTGTTGGATACTGGCTCACTGGGTGGGCTTGGTGTCCAACTCCGGCCAACTCCAACCTGGAACAAGTAGGAAGAAGTTGGATAGGCGCAGACCGCGCAAACCAGAGCAGTGCAACCAAATATGCAGATTCACGTCGCCTGCGCCGCTTTTCCACGGCCAAATCATTGATTTTTCGTTCAAGGACGCGCAATTGAAACACATTTCATCATATATTTAATTCAAAACTCCTTCCGTTCGGTTCCAAACAACCAACATATTTCACAACAATCATACGTTCTTTCCAATACATCGATGCTACACAATATTGCATCCAATTGCTTTCCTTCTGCATCATCTAATAACTTCATACTTTCTCTTTGATTTTCTTCTTATACAATTCTAATAACAAAACATATGCAACAATTTTAAAACTATATAGTAATAATAGAAATATTTCAAATATTCTTATAAAATAAAAATGTTATTTCAATTAAATATTCTTAAAATGTGTACATTCAAATTGCAATTATCATAAACGTAATCAGTTAAACGTTATCGCGAAATTGCTTAGTTACAGTTTCAAAAGTTTTCGTTAAATTGCATTTCCGTGTACATTTACTGAATAAACTTTTATAATTAGATAACATTTTGCTCATCATATTTATACTAAAAAAAAAATTCGAAAACATAAAAATTACAATTTGTATTCAGTACTCACTGATTCAGAATAATTAGTTGAGCGTGCAATTTTATTAAGTGAAAATTGGCTGCATCCTATTTAATAAAAAAAAAACAAAACTATAGCTTAGTAAGCGCTATTTTCATTTGAAAAATATACAAAGCGAATTGATTTAAATCCTTGGATAATTTAATAAATGTTCAATAGTAAACAACTATTTTTGTGCTTATATTTTAGAACCAGTTTGAAGTTACGTTAATTTTTATTAATTATACTAATATTATTGCAAGATAATATTGTATACTTAATGTTGTTGCAATTATTTATGAAATTGAAGCTTAATTAAAGGAAGGAATTAAATGATTAGATATGATCAATAATAAAATGTTGGAATACAAAACAATAACTTCCCATAATGATAAGATAAGAAGACATAATATTAGAGCATGATTCAACCGTGTGCGAATCAAATTTTGTGCAAGGAAAGCTTTTGAATATTTATTTTGTTACTAAAGTTTTTAAAATTAATTAACCTCGGTCATAAAGACCCTTTGCTGAAGTAACTATTTTTTTTATAATTATTTTATGATTTTTTTGTTTAAATGTTGCTATAAATATTATTATTATTAATAAACTAGTTAGGCAATGAATATGATGTAACAACTTTGGTGAATGCAGTCGAAATATTTGCAAAAAAGAACTAGTTCACAATAAACAGATTTGGTTCATATTCATGATTTAAGTAGCTATTAAAAATGTGCATAATATTAAAAGAGATTACTTAATAAAACACGAATAAGAATTTGAACAAAACGAGTTTTATATGGTTGTTAACTTTTATTATGTATGCAAATTTATTCGAATTTGTATGACTAAATGAATTAATAATAAGTTTGCAGATAATTAGTATATTGGATGAATTTGGATTGGCTTGAAGGATTTGGAATTTGATGGTGTTCTAGCAATAATACGTACATCCATCAACATAAGATTTTAATTTAAAAATATGCTTGTTTGTCGTCTTTGTTTATATAAAATTTGGTGTTCATTTTTTTATAGAAAACATTTAAATAAAAAATATTATTTGAATGTGTTGTATGCACATACAAGTATAGAGAATGTGATGTGCCTACATACACGAATATAAAAAATAATAAAATAAAATGAGATCACAGGTAAGAAGTATAGAATCAATATAAACATATATATATATAAAAAGAAATCGAATTCATATTAACCTTAGAGTCTGCTTCTTCAAGTGCTTCAGTGCGCATTTCGCCGCCGTACATTTAGCAATTCTGTAGTTGCGACCAATTCCCTTGAACACGCCCTTCCCGAAGACTTCCACCGTGACTCTGACCCTGCGACCATCTGCTAATTTCTCGGCAGTTCCAAACTTTGCAGTCTCTGGTTCCAATTCCAGAAGCTCTCTAATAGGCGACTTCGGTACTTTGTCGCTAAACTGCTCGATCTCGTTCTTCATCATTTGGTAGTAAACACGCCATACTTCATCCAAAGACCTACCAGAGTCTAGGAATATCGCACCAGCGACGGACTCGAATACATCACCTAACACTTTGGGAACCTCAACGTCTTCGACTTCTTCACTCTCCTCTACATCCAGTAAAAATAACTCTTCACTGACCTTGTGTCCACCTCTTTCTTGAATCTTGATGAATTTCTCTATGACCTGGTGCAAACCTGGAGAGAGGTATCGAAAATACTTATGAAAGCTGTACTTGACAGCCAGAGAGGCGAAAATTGTATTGTTTACTAATGCAGATCTAAGATCAGTGAGTGCTCCTGGCGAATGCATCCTCTTATCTTCGTATAGATGTCTAGTAATTAAGTAGTCCAAGACAGCATCGCCTAAGAATTCTAACCGTTGATAACAGTCTGTGATGTTGTTTGGAGAGTAAGAAGCGTGCGTTAAAGCTTGCAGCAAATACGAGCGATCGTTGAACTCGTAATCCAAAATGCGTTCGAACTTCTCGTAACCATCTAGGAGAATTAGTAGACGGGCATCTGGATCTGGAACGTATCTGATCAACGGTGAATTAGGTACAGCTAATTCGCCGTAGCTGTTATCCTCGAACTTCGGCAACACTCTGATACCTAGCCAAGCCATGAATAGCAGCGCACCTCTTGGTCCACATTCAATCAAGTAGGCACCGATCAATGCTTCCACGCAATCGGCAATGCTTTTATCTGGGATGCTGTGTTGCGTGACCAGATTGTATGGGATTATACCAGAAGCAAAATCTACGACGCTCTCGCCCTGTTCTTGAATTTTCAAACAAATTTCTTGCAGGCTCATATTCCTAGTAGCCACATAATCCGCCAATGTTAAATAGTTGGCGGGGATGCGAGCCTTGCTCAGAGCTTCTTCCAGCTCTTTGGACACGCAGTAACAAGGCGGCAGCCAATTATCATGCGGATCAAATTTAGTGGCGATCATCATATCTCCCAATTGCTTACGTTTTCCTAATCTATATAAGTTTAAATTGCTAACTTGCTTTGATCTCAAATGGCTGAGCTTGCCCTCGTGTGTGTACTCATATTTTGAATACAAATAATCGGTTATTGCATATTTCAAGAATGAATCGCCAATAGTTTCCAACCGTTCTAAATTGATTCCGTCGTTAGCATTTGACATTGTTAAAGCCTGAAGAATGACACTCGGGCTAGGACCAGGATGCTCTTCCAAATTAGGTTGCTTATCAAAGCTGAAACCTGTGAGCTGGGGTTTTGGTCTAATATTTGGTATCGTCTCAACTGTTTTCCTTTCAAAATTGTAATTATCACTCTTCTGGTTATCATTCTCTACTTTGATCAAATCTCTATCGTTGATTTGTATGCCAGTCATCTTGAATGGTTCGTCTGATTTTAAAACCATGCGTGTATTCATGATAGTAATATGACCCTCGCAGGCTTCGATGAAGTCGCTTTCCAATTGCTCTGAAACGTGAGGCTCAGTCTCCCATGCTTTGGACAAGATGTAATCTTGCGGGGTTGTAGTTGGCTCAGTGGTATTATCAACGGCTTCAGCCAAATATTCTCCTTGAAATTCAATGTGCAATCCTCCACATTGAGAGTCGTTTGTCTCTCCTTCAGACTCTTCACTATAATAACTATCCGTATCAGAAAAATCGTCGTATTCGTTATATCCATATGTGCTATGCATCCAACTAGTAGGAGATCCATAGCGTACCGTTGATTTAATAGCTTGATCTTTGCCCACCATATCATTTGACCAAGTGCCTATCTCGATCCATTCAGGATCATCGCTATTTCGTTCAATGGTTTCTATATCCAACTCCTCCTCTTTAACCTTCTCTTCCGATATACTAACTGCTCTTAGAATAATGTCTTCCAGAACTTCTTCAGCAGCTTGTACACTATCATTTGATAATTCATTCTCTTTAGATTTTTTCAAAACGTCAGAAAGACACCAACCAAAGTTCAATGAAGGCCAATTAAATGACCTCGGTAAGATGGGTTTACCCAAATGAATATCTTCTGCGACTGTTCTTCGTATCTCATCAGCCAAGAGCAGAGCGTTTATGCGATATAAAATACATGGAAGGCAGACAGCTTTTCGCCACAAAGAGGCAGGGAAAGGATGTATTGCACACAGTTCAGGTACTAAAATCTGTTTCTGCTCTAAGTTTTCTCGTTTAGCCTTTTTGGTTTCTTCGCTACTCGTTGGTAAAGCAACGCCCTTGCGATTTACGTATCTAGGTGTCAAAAAGTTCAGACGCGCTGATGTATGATCCACGTCTAAAAGGTGCTGATCGGCGTTCTGTATATCCAAATTATATTTACGCAAATAATATTCCTGAAATGTGGAATATTCCGAACCTGGGAAGGTGGAAGTTGGATTTAGATTAGAGCATATCTCTGCAACGTAAAAGTATTGTGGTTGGTCTTGATTCCTGTACCACGGCATAACTACAGCATCTTTATATTTCGCAGGATCAAATTCGTAATTGGCTCGGTTTTCATCTGGAATACTTTCTGGAAGGACATCTCGATTTTGATAAATCTTATTTAAGAAATCCCAGTCAACATCAGTTTTCTCGTCATCTTAAATAAAACAAATTAAATTATTGGAGAAAAGATCACAGTACTATAATGTACTTACCAGTGATTGTTGGTACAATATAGTAGCTGCTATCAGTGTGTTTAGGATCAAAAAGCATTTGGTATTTTTGTAAACGTAAAACACTTGTAAACGTATAATTTAAGAATTCGCTAATTTTATGTAATTGTTCTTCACTCAAATTAACACCTTCATTGCAAAGTTCTAAACTTATTTTAACTTCGCCAGATCTCGTAAATATTGGAAATGGACAAAGCTAAAACAAACATATTTATAGAGACGTATAATTTGATTGATAGGATTACTTGTACTTGTGGTATTTCTTTGCATGTTAGAATTCCGAAACCTTGGGCGGATTCTTCTGGAGGATAAATCCTCCGTCCCCTGGTGTTTTGCTCTTCAGGAATAGGACAGGTAAGGGTCATCACAATTCTATAAAAATATGTGGATTTGTTGGAATAGGGTAAACAATCTTGTAGGGAAAATGCAATCCTTTTATAATAATACTGTCTTCGTTTTGTTGTTCCAGGCCTCTGCTCGATATGTTCCAAACTTAATTCTTCATCTTCCTTCTCTAAACTAAAATCATTCCAATCCTCTTCAGTGGCTCGGAAATTTTCTTTGGTAATTGGATTAAGGTTGTCGTCAAGTTCTTTATATTTGTGCAACAGTTGGCACATGTAGAATGCAGCATGCCGCCTTGCCAATATATCGCTTGAAACAAAGGGACTACAAACAGTTGCTTTTACTGGAGAATTAATCGGCAATCGAAGTTTACAAGCTACTAAGTCTATGGCTTTTACAAAATCATAAGTAGGAACTAATTTCGTAAAAGTATCACTTGGCAGTTTGGCACAATAACGATTAATCAACGGAATTGCTGTTGTCAAGCTAACCGTCTCATTTTGTGCGGTTTTGTATGGAGCGTACGTGTTGCAGACCTGATCAGATGTCCGGACATCCTCATCTTTGTACTCTATCATACCGCATCTCATCAACAAAGTTTTTTCAACCTCCATGTATTCTGCATACTTCTGAAGATATAACTTACGCTCCACTTCACAAACTAACGTAATATAATAAGGATTCTGGGAACGAGCTCTCGACTTGCTCTGCACATAACTGTGGAAAGTTCCAGGCATATCGAAACGAATCACCAAATTACATTTAGGCAGATCGAAACCTTGCTCCAAAATTGCTGTTGAAATCATAACATTGCAATCGTGTGAGCGAAACTTCCTCAGTACATCTTCTTGTTTCCTATGCTCTAACTCCGCTTCGTTAGGTTCCGTTATAGGATCAGCAATTTTATCGACAGTGAATAAAGTACCTATCCACCAAAATTGGTTATCACATTGTGCTAAACTCTGAAAACAAAGCATAAATAAGCTGTATAATTACAGAAAATATGAATCATCGAAACTTACAGATAATAAACTATGAATGACTCTAGCTGTGCAACTATTCTTCACAAATACCAATGCACATATGCTGTCCTCATGGTTAGGTCTGGCGTAATAGTTGCGACGTTGACCTTTATATTGTCTTTTTCCAAATTTTGGTGGATGTGGAACTACATCAACAACAGGTGGATTTACTGGCTCGACGGGTTTCTCTGATTCCGGTGGACCCATCTCCCTGAGAACCTCGATAAACCTGAGTACTTTATGTGTAGACATGCACAATATACGTTGTTTTTCGTCTTCGAGATCTTCCATCTCAGCCTCGCACATAGCTCGAATTTGCATCATTTTTGTACTCAGTACACATAGCAACAAATAATGCCTTTCATATGCAACTTTGACTTTCAATTTCTCTACTAAAACTAAGATATGTAATGCAGCCTGATTGGCGCACCAACTACCTAACTCTTCCAAAAGTGCAAGAAAATCATGCAACAGCATTAACGGTTTCTCTTTTGGATCAGGAACATTGCGGATTTCTTCTAAAAATTCTTCAGCATAAATTTCACTAGGATCATAACGATGTTCTGTCAGAAAGGTGATGGCATCAAGAACAGTCTCCCTTATTGAAGTTTGCAAAGAGTTCTCCACAGATTGAACACATTCCATTATAATTTCCTTAGGTTTGCTACTCAATCTTATCTGTGTAACAATTTCACTAGACGTATCCACAGTTGATCTAAGCAAATTTTCCAGCCTTAAAATCTCTGCATTCAAATATGCCGGTTTCAGGTCTTCACCCAACAAGCCAGAAACTAATCCTAATACTCTTGGTTTATCTACTGTTTTATCATACACATCCATAATAGAATTGAGCTTATATTGTTTCTCACCATATAAGCCATCATCAATTATTAGAAGAGTTAAATATGAAAAGTCTTCTTCCGTATTTGCTATAAACTGCAAACAACCATCAACAGTCATTAGGAAAACATGGTAATCCTCTTTCATTTGAACCCATTCAATTTTAGTAATTGATCTATCTAATATCATACAGTTCAAATCTGAAAACATTTAATATAGAAAAAGTTCTGACAATGAGTTAACATTTAAATCTAACCTGTTAAAAGTTTCAACTGCTCCAGGAGAACATTCAGATTCTGCGAATCAAGTATGTAGAACACCCTACTTCCACAAGCCTTCCGCATCTGCCATGATAGCTCCTGCACCAGCTTTAAAGCTATAAAAGCCTTCCCAAAGCTGGTGCTCGAGCACACAATGGTGTTCCTGTTCTTTACTCTATCCAGTAGTTCTACCTGATACTCTCTTGGAGTAAAAGAGTCTACATATACATTGTCGTTATTGTAATGGAATGCCATCGTTTACGCAATATACTTGACTAGCATGTAACTAATAATAAATCACAAATTTTCATAGTAACATTGTTCTATTGTTTCCACCAATTCGCCGGCTGACATATAAATGCACAGCACAGCATAACCAATAACCAACGGCCAACTTTGATTATATGTCAAAACCACGACTGAAGCGCCACCATCCAAAACCAAACCAATTAAAACACAAATTAACGGAGGGAAATTCAATTTAAAAAAATAACTAATTAATGAAGAATGTATCTTAAATTACGTCATACAACAAAAGAAAGTAAACTTAAAGATTTATGAGAAAATAAATAAATAGTTAAGCAACAACAGATTCGGTTCATATAATTAATTAAAATTAAGACTAGAAAATTCACGTACAAAACACATTAGTTACAATCAATCGATTAATTAAATGTTGAATTCAAAATTAGAATTTATCCTTACTTAAAGATTACCTTAATAAACTTTTAATATTTGCATTGAACATGTTTATTAATTAAAATGGAGACTATCAAAAATGCACATAAAAAACGCATTTGTCACAAAAAAACGCACATTTCAGAGTGGAAGACACAGAGAAGAGGAAGAAACGCATTTGTTATAATCAATCCATTAATTAAATGTTGCTTTCAAAATTAGAATTTATCGTTACTTAAAGATTACCTTAATAAACTTTTAATATTTGCATTGAACAGGTTTATAATTAAAATGAAGATTATCAAAAATGCACATAAAAACGCATTTGTCGCACAAAACGCACTTTTCAGAGTGGAAGACACAGAGAAGAAGGAAGAAACTATTTATTACAATCAATCCATTAATTAAATGTTGCTTTCAAAATTAGAATTTATCGTTATTAAAGATTCCTTAATAAACTTTTAATATTTGCATTGAACATGTTTATTAATTAAAATGAGACTATCAAAAATGCACATAAAAACGCATTTGTCCACAAAAAACGCACATTTCAGAGTGGAAGAAACAAAGGAGAAGAAGAAGGAAGAAACGCATTTGTTACAATCAATCCATTAATTAAATGTTTCTTTCAAAATTAGAATTTATTCTTATTTAAATATTACTTTAATAAACTTTATAATAGTTTCATTAAACAATTTTATTAATTAAAATTGAGACCGTCGAAAGTACTCGCAAAAAACACACTCGTTAAATCAATCCATTAATTAAATGTTGAATTCAAAAATAGTATTTATTGTTACTTAAATATTACTGTAATAATAGTTGCATTGAAGTAAACCTGTTCAAATCCATTAATTATAATTAGTTTAGTAAGTAAATTTGCATGTGTAAAAGTAACAGGAAAAAACCAGAGAAGATGACGATTGTCCTTAATAATATCGTAATCTTTGAGTTTTTTTTTTCTTCTTCTTGCAAACCGTTTCACTTCACGAACGTTATTATTTTTATTTGCAAATTTGATCATCCCAAGTTGTAAGTTGGCCAACGTACATCAGACAGTTATTTTATTAAGAACAGAAGAAGAGGCTACAACTGGTTCCGAGATCAGTCCAGCAGCAAACGTCGAGTAAAATGTAATGTAATTAAAAGATCTCTTCGGTTTTTCCCGCCAACGGTAAGCGATATTCAATTATTTAATCATTTGCGAAACTATTTATTATAATTATTAAATTTAAACTTAATTTTAATTAAATTAAGATAAGTTTAAAAAATTAATTAATTAATTTTATTTGAATTTTCATATATAATATATAATACTTCATTAAAATGTATTTACTTATTTAATATATTTATTATATGAATGATCAAAATTAATGTTAATAGTTCTGCGTGAAATAAATATTCATGGTAACATTCATAATTACAATGTCGTAAAAGTATAGAGAATAATTGTTATGAAATAATCAAAAATGCAATGAATGAAGAAAGACAAGAGGTTTTATTGGTCTTTAATAACATTTGCTGTTTCACTAATTTTTATTTATTTTCAAATGAAGCTTATAAATGTCTATAGGATTTGGCCTATATTCGAGGTATTGGTTTAGGAATGATAGGTTGTCAATAGGCTATGACAAAATAGCCAAATATATGAGTAGCGTGCAAGCGATTGCTATATTTAAATGTTGGTCAGTGGAGCAGGTTGACCCGCCTGCAGAATAACACCGTGATGGGCTAGTCTCGTACAACATAACATGTTACATATTCCGCTAAGAGCCGGCTCACGAAAGAAAGTAACCACGACTATTAGGCGCCGAAATGCGAAGGAAAAAAAAAAGATGATGACCAGAGAACAAGAAATCCGCTGAAATTAATTAGTCCGTTTCTAAACAAACCTCGTTCCAAATTCGCTCGCAATTAAACGACTTATTCGGTTTAACCGAACGGACTCCCCATGCGTATGCGACATAAAACGTTTATGCGGCGGTATTACGAGCAAATTGCTGGTTTACGCTTAACTAAACTGGTAGATTCATATGATTTTGTCTCTGCTAACGGTAGAATTGTTAAAATATGAAATGTAGCTTAGCCAGAAAAGCCAGTTCCATTTCGACTTTCAATGCAAAACCACTCGGATATTTCCAAGTTGCGACGTGAAAAAAATATATACTAAGAAAAGTCACACTCGCAAACTACTCTTTCAGAATGTATTCTCCGCTCATTTTAATTCCGCTGGTGATTGCCGGCGTGGTACAATTCGCATCCACCGAAAATGACTCCAATTACCTTCAGGATACCATCAAGGATCTGACGCTGAACATGGATGTGAATACGAATGTAAGGAAGATTCCTCCGCTGAAAGTAAGTACATCATCCTCATCATAATTATTATTTGTTTAACGCGATACGATTTTGAGACGCGTCAAACACATTCATCCTAAAACATATAAATTTAATAGACCGGAAATAAATATGTTTGTAGCATCAAACGGATTTTAAAGAATTCCACTATTTAGATTATCAGAAACTTGACCTTAGCGGTGTTTGGCATAACAATCTAAAGTTGATCTAAATCTAAATTCTAAAGTTGAAGTGTTACATTAATACTAGTCATATAATATGCAAGTCAAATTACTATACTATAGTTTATAATTAAACATTTTAACATACTGTAGTTTAAGATATGGGTCAAATAAAAGGCGGTTTCCAAAAAACTATCATTTCTTATGAATGTCTGAATATATTAATATTCCGATGTAATTCTTGTACTTAAAGTACTATAGATAGTATATTTATATATTTTTTTTAGGTGATGACACCTAGTCCAATAAAAAGAGCTTATACAAATCAAGAAGCGCAAATACCGACGTTGCAGTTGACCAAAGCAGAGTTAGCAGCTTTATATGAGTCAGCTGTTATGAAAGGAGATACAATAAAGTTGGATCCTGGAGATGGTAGTACTAAGAAAATAAAGGCTGTAGTACATGCGATAGACGAACATTCCAGCGAATATCAAAAGGATACAGTAGGCGAAAAAGATGGCTATTACTATTACTACTATCCACTAAAAAGTTTCATGGATGAAATGTCTTCATCGTCTTTCCAACATGAGGTATACTAAATTCGCATAATGCAATGTTCCTAATTTCTATTCCTATCCTCTGCACAGTACACTTGAATTACTCGATTTGTAAAATAAGCACATGGATGATTTTCACATATCTATAAAGGTGAAATGCTTAGCATTTTACCTTTATATGTAACTTTGGCTTAGCGCACTTGAACTACCTTATTTTCACAAACTATAGGGTTTTGTCCGCTCTTGCTATGCTTTTCAATTATAAAATGCATATAAGAAGGTGTAAAGGTTCAGTAGTTCCTAAGTTATGAAGTTAATTACCATGTTTTATTTCAAAGAGGATCAAAGTGGAGGATTACCCCCAAAAACCTCATGAGGAAGAAGTGAAACCCTACGTTCATTCCCACCACCATCAAGTAAATAAGTTGCGGCCATGCATTATTTATTCTAGGAATATCATTTTTTTAGCACAACGTCCATATAGAACCGATGAAGAATATGGTCGATACCGACAAGAAGAAAGGTTTGGAACCACTGTTTATGGCTATCTCTGGATTCATCGGGATGACAATCATGTTCATTTTGTCTATTCTCATCCTACCTAAGATCGACAAATTGAAGCCAAAGGGTTTCAAGAACGATAATTCAGAGGTTACCAGTATAACCAGGGTCGTATTGCAAGCCATAGAAGGACGTGATTGCGCAGAAAGATTGGCTTGTGAGGCCGGAAAGACTGCGAAAGCTTTCAACTTGCACGATAATCGATTCGTGAAGTATGGATTTTATGAATGGAAAAATCTGCGTTATCAATTATTAATATATTGCTTTCTAGGTTGTTACGTAGAATAGCTCCGAATTCCGTGGTAAAACAGATCGACAAGATGGGAAAGTATACGGACAAGAAGTTCAAATGTGCTGCAATCCAATGCAAGAGGCGAGGACAGCCAGCCGCGAAGCTTAAAAGAAAGCCGAAATTGCTGTAACCAAAACTATCCACTAATTTAAATTATTTATTTAATTATTTATTAGCCAATATTGGAAACTCGCGTTTGATACAGCAGATTCGTCCGTTCCATGTATCAAACGCGACCGAACCAAGTTGGCATTATAATGTATTTATTAAAAATAAACAAGAAAACTGATGGTAAAAAATAAGTCATCTGAGTGAATGAATTTGATTTGATTTATTTATTTTAGAAAAAGCAGATATAAAATTAAAAAAAATGAAAACAACTTGTACATGTTAATAAATAAATTGGTTTGTCCACTTCACGAGATTTATAATTACGAGATATGGAAACAAAATTCCAGTATACGCAATCGAAGAATTATTCGTTACATAATCTTAACATTCTAGATCCTTATAAATACAATTTAAGAATTCGTATCCTTATATACACACAGTAATCTCATGAAATCTTAATTTGAATATATATTTTTTTCGTTTTCACTTTAGTTAAAAAACATACAAATTTGACATACAATGTTTTTTTTTTATACAATAAGAAAGCTACATTATAAGCAGATGTAAATGTATCTATTAATGTTATCTACGTCCGTACAAAACTCTTGTGGCGCAAAAATCATCATGTAATAAGTAATATCACTATTTTTTTCTTTTTATAATATATGTATAGAGATATACATATATAATAAATGAAAGGAATAACTTTTCTTCATATTCTTCAACAAAACACTAAAGAACACACAGCTATTTGGAGACTACATTCAGAAATGATCATATCAAAATCGATGGCACCTGAATTAATAATATATGTATATATATAGACAGATAAAATAATAAAAGCAGTCTCAAGATTTGCTCCTTATTGCTGTCAACTCAAATTGAAAATGAACCTACGACAATAGATATCCAGTACAAAATATATCAGTGGTCTTCTGTATACACGTATATAAAAGAAAGAACATCCAAAATAGTTTTGAGCACAGCAAAAATATGGCATATATATATAAACATATATATATATATATTTAAAAAAAATAATAAAAAATTTACCTTTCTTTGAAAAAAACAAAAATCACCTTTGGTCTTTTTAATATTTAAAATATAAAATAAAATTCGACTTAACAGAAGAATGAAATAAAATAATATACATTATAAAAGGGTTTCTTTCATATTATTTGGTTAGTAAGAAGTAGTAGGAAAAAAGCTGCTTCCCTCGTATAGTTAAAATTTGATTCGAATAAAAATAGTTCAAAATAAAATAAAACTGCACTCTAGGAGTAACGTCCTTTTCCTAATTATTTTGTTAGACGTCGCATATGAAAACTGATTTTGGCAATGGCCTTAAAAGTTACTTAAAACTAGCAAAGAAACGCTCGCTTTCAACACGAGTACCGCACCCCCGGAATCACAAGAAAAATATTGAATGGTACGAATTAAATAAGATTTGTTGTTGAATTTTTAGTTTGGGGTGAGGGTTAAAGTTAATTAATATCGCAGTAGGGGTTCGGTGTCCGAGTCGACCTTTGGGTTCACTTGGAATGTATTAAAATCACCGATGGCACACCAATATTATGTCTCGCACAAATTATGTAGTTCGGCGTAGTTAACGATAGCTCGATGTAAGAACTCATATTGTGCCTTTAACAAAAGAAATCAGATATTACTAACGCTTTTAATATTATATTTGTTAGGAATACTTACATAGGTACTGATCATTGCCTGTCTCTGAGACCTCAATTTTCTGGTAGTCGTGAAGATGTCGACACGTTTTTCGACACGCAACTGCTGTACAAGGATGCTCAGACCAACGAACATCGAACTACGATCCGATCCCATATTGCAGTGCACCACCATCGATGTTGGAGATCCATGTTGAATAAGTGCACCTTGGGCATGGTCGACTAGTTCGATCAATCCTCGTGTGACTTCAGGTACTTCCCCGTCGACAGTCGGCCAGCCGTGGTATTGTAAGTGGGTCACCCGGAAGTCATCGCCATCTCTGCTCTTCACGTACATTTCCCTGCGCGTGTAGTACGGACAACTCTCCGCCTGGACATATCTGACCGAGATGTGGTCATAGTTGGTCTCATCTTCTGGCCAGTATCTAGGACACCTGCCCTCCCCGAGTTCCGATAACATCACAATCACACTGATCCCTTGTTCTGATATCATTCTCCAGAAGTCTGGTACTGTGATATCCATAGGATCTTGTGCAATTATAAACGATTCCGTGTTATCGTAGCCTTCGATAAATGAAGCATTGATATAAGTGGAATGTTCTTTTCCGGAAAGAGGCGTTAGGATAACGCGATTTCTATCATACGGGATCACAGTATCGCTGCGATTCTTCTCTTGGTTCTCTTCGCCACCAGCTACAGAACAGGATTTCCTATCTTCGTAAGCATTCCTGATATTCTCGAATTCCTCCTCCATCCTTGTTTTCATCTTATCCTTATCACATTGTCTCAACTTATCAATAGTTGTCTTCAAATCAGTAGCCAAAATTTCAGTATCACCATACTGTGCCACCTCCATCAAAGCGCGATAAATAAAAATATATTGTTTCTAAATAGAGAGAAAGTGTTAATAAATATCATTAATTTATAAAATGATTTACTTACTAATGACTGTACTAAGAAATTTCTTTGGTGCCTCAAATCACAAATAGTATTGAATATAGCTGCCTGTCCTTCATCCTTGAGTTGTTGCAAAAGACAGTCTAAAGCAACTAAAGTACCAGTTCGACCAACGCCGGCGCTGCAATGTACTAAGATACATCCACGCTCTGGAGAGTAGGCTTCGTTCATCCTTTTTATAAACTTGATAATACCGTGCGGATGTTCTGGTGCCATGAAATCTTTCCACACCAAGTAATGGTACTGGGTAATAACCCGATCTTCCTTATCTCTGCTACCGCTGCGGGAAATACGCAACTCCCTTACAATATAGTCTGAATATCTAGTTTCCTGGCAATGGGTCACACTAATATCACCAAAGACTTTGTCGATTTCACTAGTGTCGGGCCAATATTTGGCGCACTTTGTTTTGCTATACTCTTCAAGATTTGTCAACATGAGAATCAGCTCCAAGTGTTGTTCCCATATCATTCGCCAAAATTCGTTGACAGTAGTATCCATTGGACCTTGAGCACAGATAAACTTTTTCCTTTCTTTGTAACCTAGCACGAAGTTAGCGTTTATGTAGTCTGATCCGGCGATGCTATCCACCTGCGAAATTTTAACTCTGGTTTGATCATAGGACTTAATATCCGGATATCTATTCTTGTAAATATTCTCCCGAGCATCGGAAGCCCTCGTCGAACGGTCGTTGAAACGATCTGGAAGCAATTCGAACTCCTGCTGGAAACCGTAGTCAGAATCACGATGTCTTTCGATGTAAGAGGCAGCCAATTCTGCTTTAACAATCGGACACATATCTGGAGGCTTTAGAGAAACCAAACGCTGCCGTCCTCTAAGGTTCCTAGAACACGAACGATTGTAGAAGGCCGTACATACATTCAGAATATTTTCATTACCGCAATGAACTTCTAAACGTTATCATTTCAACAGCTTGAGCATGAGCTTGCTTAGTATATTTTTGCAAGAGGCAAAGCACGACCAACAAGACAAGGACAGCGGCGACAAAACCACACGCAATTTGCACGACAGAATTGAACGGACTCGTTTCAGGTGCGACAACCACTTCAGGCCCAGGATTCATCATTACCAAATAATTGCTATAAGCTGCCATAGTTTCCATTGGCCCTTTCCCATGTACTGTTTCAAGAATGAAAAGCGTTTCATGTTTTATAAATAATCCCAAAAACCGATTCTAATAAATTTCATGCATGCAGCATTCAATAAGCAAGAATCAAACTTTTACACATTATTCCATTCAAAACGGAACCTATTTTCCAATCTTTTTGCTATTGAATGCATGTTGGTAAAATTTATTAAAATTTATAAAAAAAAAAGAAATATTAAAAAAATAACTTACCAACAACTTCTATGAAACTTGTATAATTGCTGTTGCTATCTAAATTACCGTCGTATGGTGGTAAAGGATCAGCTAAGATCGTTCTTCTTACTCGATTAGTTTCAATAGCGGATGCGTTCGTATGAGAGGCTTCTTTGTGTTCTTTGGGATTCGAGTATGGCCTGAGGCCAATGCATCCCGAGCAAGGCATGTTACTTACGTTGTAAACCTGTTCATCACCTAAGAAAATTTCATTATGGAATGTGGAACTGAAAAAATAAACGAAATCAAAAATTAATTCGATGGATATTCAAGTAATGAAATAATATTACCTTGTAAACATTTCAGCAACATAGGCGCCTCCTTTAGGAGTGCGATGCGCTTCTTGATAAGAAACCACATCCAATTCCTCCGGGCTAGGAAGTTCGGTCAACTTCTGTTGGGCTTCCATACGTACCAAATAAATTCGATAGCAACAGATGGGACCATTACGTTCGGATATTCTTGGCATCAACACTTTGAACATCCATTTACCTTGCTCTTCCATTTTCTTCCACGTAATTCTAGACAGTCTTTGTTTATCAGGTACAGTCGGCGGCATCACACAATGTGCTTCAATAAAATCTCCGTTCTTTTTGGTTTTCGTTACGCCGGACACACGAACAGTGTAATTGGTGTTGGCAGAGACGTTGTAAAATTTGGCAATATTTTCTGGAACACTGGTCACTTTCGGACCCCATGTTGTATGCTCCATGATTCCTTGGTCATTGATAAACGAGGCGTTGCCTTCTAGATTCACATTATAAGACATTATTGTTCCGTGGGGATTTGTAGGATGTTTCCATGAAACGTGAACAAAGCTAGTCTGACTAATATTATCGAATCTAAAAATAAATGATTCTAATATAAACGAAAGATAAGCAGATGAAACAAGTATTTACCTGCAGGTAATAACAATATTGGATGGTGGTCCAGAAATGCCATCCATTGTTGTTCCATTAACTTTTTCAGACCATTCGCCACATTCATTACTGTATTCATTACAAGCAGCCACTTGAAAATAGTATGTTGTTGCTGCATTTAAGTTGGAAAACATATACAAATTTCCCTCTGAAGCAATTGAAATTGCCTCAAATGGCACAGCACTTCCAGATTGTGATTTCAGCTTATAGAATTGCACATAATCCATTAGATGATCTGGAGGCTCTTTCCAAGATATAGTAATGGAACTAACAGTGAGCCCAGTTACCTTTACTTCAGTAATAAAAACAGGATCCTCTTGAAGAGTTTTAACAGGCTGACTTTTGTCATATTGACTCTTGCCTTCAGAATTCTCAGCACAAATTCTAATAGTATACTCAGTAGCATTGTTAAAGTCGTTTAAAACGTAAGATCTATTTCCCCCACCTACATAGTCTTTAGTAAAAATCCAATTGGATTCACCAGGTGTCATATATTGTATCATGTATTTCAGACTGTTCGGTTCATTTCCATCATTCACTGTCCAATTCAGAAAGATCTTAGACTTACCAATAGCTTTGACCATATCTAATTTAACAGTGGGTTTATTAAGAACGAGGATGTCCAAGCTCTGGTTATTACTACTCATTGGGGTTTTTGCATAGCAACTATAAGTGCCATTGTCTTTCTTACTCACCTCATTGATAGTCAACACAGTATGTTGGACAGTCTCATTAATAATTTTCGTTTCATTTTTAATCTTGTCCCCAGATACAATTTCATTATCTTTCATCCAACCAATTTCAGTTATTGGATATCCCTCAATGGTGCATTCAATTTGAGCTTTGTGATGTAACTTTGTGCGCACTGTTTTAGAATAATTTAATACTGTCACAGGCAGAGAAACATTTAACTGCACTCTAGATATGTCCATCTCTAGGATTCTCTCGATAATGGCATGGCAAATATATTCTCCAGCATGCAGCTGATCTACATTAATCAAATGCATGATAGAAACCTCAAACTTCTTCTGGGATTGGTCCAGATTCTCAGATTCCTTTTCCATGCGATACCTGTAAAGCAAATGCATGTTTAAACTGAGGTGACAGATGTGTGTATGTGTACCTTGTGTCGTCTGTAACATTTTCATTATTGAAAGTCCACCAAATCATGCTGTCGATTAGCTTGGTCTTGCATATAAGGCTGACATTCTCGCCATAGGGCAGGCTATCAGGGGGATAGGAAGGGTTGATTTCAATCGTCGTATTAAGATACTCCTCATTCTCATCTGGTAAATGTAAAGATAAATGTTAGTGCCGGTTCGGTGCTTGGTTGCCGGTATTGCCGGGAAATGGAAAACACGGGACCATGGAAAAAGGGTCCAATCTTGGGAAGGGTTGATCTCAAGACTCACCCAAGAAATTCGCTCCAATAAATCCCGGCGTTAAGAACAGAAATGTAAATACACTGAAAAAGAGATGGGCTTGGCAAAAAAACATGGCGCCTTCTGTGTTCTGTGCTGTTTTTCAGCGAATTTCAGCAATAGTACAGTACCACGCACTACTCTCTTCTAGTTGGACACAAGATCAAAGCCCATCATCCCGATTGGAATCAAACACTCACTCATTTACCACTTAAAAACCAACTGGATTCACTCAAACGTCAGATCAACAATCACTTTGTTTTCGTTGCAACCATCTTGGAAACTGCAAACCCGCACACGACTGCCAACCCAATTCAAAAATTCGCAAAACTCTTAACAAAATTTCCCAAAACGGCCTAAGCATAAGCTTCTAGCAAGAAGAGATTTCCTAAGACAACAGGCAATCAGCAAACAACTTTTTATGATAGCCCAATATGAGGTGACCTCTACAACCATCTACAACTGCTGCGCGAATAACACTTCCTCAATTACATTCAAATATCACATTCAAATTCTAAGCAAACGTATTGTCCGCACGTGCCATATTAATATTCTCTATTTATAAGTCGACTATCTTATTTGAATGTATAATTATCCTTTTAAGGCAATCTCAAAACCCTGCCCAAAAGTGTTACAATGCCATCTGCTGGCAAATCATTAAAGCATTAGTATTATTAAAAGCCAGAAGATAATTAATTACAATTAACTTAAATTATTGGCAATTACAATAAAAGTTACCCTCTGGTGAATTTTGAAGTGAACTTTTTAATTAAACTTTTATGTGTAATATAATCTTTAAAAAGTACAAATTGGATGAATTGTAATGATATCGAAAAGAGGATAAAAACCAATTTTATATTTAATTTTAGTAATATAAATATATTCATCAGGACAAGAAACAATCAAAATATTATTTTAAAGGGCAGAAAGGGCAGAACAGCCCTTTCGGCCAAATCTGGTACGAATTCGATTCCCAAAAAGCCAACAAAAATTTGTGGTGGCTGTTAAACCCGAAAGGGTAGAAATAGGGCTGGAAGAGATATAAATCGATAAATAAATTGATATAAATCTCTTTATTTAAAAAATAAAAATAGCCCTTTGAAGCAGTTGACTTCTTTTTTTGATTTATGATTATATTATTTATATTATTGTATTGAGTTTTTTATTTTGTAATTTTCTGTTTCAATAAATTTTAAATCATAGATATAAACAGCATAGTTTGAAATTGTATATGTGGCTCCATCTGTTACACAGTAGGAGATATTGATTTTTTATGCAATTGTAATATTATATAATTAATGCAATCAATTAATAAATTGGAATAAAGTGGAAAAAATAAACAATAAAGACAAATATGATCAATAGCCTTTTGTATCAGTTGACTTTTTTGAAATTATATATATTTATTTTATTTCTGTATATGTTTTTTTGTACGACTGATGCAATAAACATTATTATTATTAAGGACAAATAAAATCTTTTGATATAATAATAACAAAAAAAATCAAAAAGTTAAGTGTTGCAAAAGGCTATTGACTATAGGTATGTCTAACCTTAATTAATTAATTTTATTAATAAATATTTTATTGATATTGTAATATAATTTTCTTTAAGTACTTTTAGTTAAACAAGTTCAATTACATATAAATCCCTTTTTTGATTGATTTATTTACAGGTCTTTGTCAACTTTATACCTGCTCAATGGTAACCAATGAACAACTTTCCCTTTTGTCCCGCAACGACCAATTATATAAGCTTAGACCTTAAGCATTTACAACCAGTTACAGAAGATAAAAAAAAGGTTCTGCTTTCTTATATACAAGTATTCAAATGTGTACATAGGTATGCATATTTATTTGTACATAGAAATGAAAATAAAAAACATATACCAATAAACTCAAGGTTTATGATAAGATAATAATATAAGTATTTATATGTATGTCATGTTACTCAGGATTGGTAGTTTGTTGGTCTCCGAGAGCTGCAATTCTGATACTTCTCGCCTTCTGCATTAAGAGCTAAAATATATATAAAGGAAGTAAACACAACAGCTTAGCCTCGCCTTTCAAAATGGATGCATACAACCTATATACATTATGTACAAACTTTAACTTTCTTAATACCTATTTGTTGTTAAATATCTAATTAAAAAATATATTATATTTGTTTAAAAAAAATAATGTGAAAGCTTTATTGAATGTTATTTTAAATTGAAGCAAACATCATGATAATATATACATCCAAACTATCATTCAGATTCACTTTCTATTATGTACAGTAGCGCATCTTGACTTTGTGAGGACCTAGACGAAACCTGATTTGGAGGCCCTAGGGACTATAATTGTGTCTTAATTAATAAAAAAAACTTATTGTTTACCTATAAAATAATTTTGTTTAATGTGAAATTATATTTTATTATTTATGAATTTAGTAGTACATGCACCTCGTACAGTGGCGGCGTATAGTATTATTTATTTGGGTAAAATATATATAATAAGAAAAGTAAATCCAAATTATTAAAGAAAAAATATTAAGTATAATATAAAATAGTGTTTATCGACAAAATCAACAAGTATTATATAACTACGTTTGAATGTAATGAAATTAATGTTGATTTGTTATTTAACAATAGATGGCGTATGTCGACTTCATTCTTATTGGTTGAATAACAAAGGAAGGTAAAGAACGGCATACAACGTTAGCGGTTTTACTTTTCAACGGAAATCTTTTGTGTAATCAGTGTTTTCGTGATTGAAATGTGTATATTAATAAAGAAATATTGCAAAATCATAATTAAATGCTTATCGACGATTATAATAGACATGGTGATGTGCTTCAATCTGCTGCAAAACTCCAAATAAATCGAGATGAATTTGCTGATCCTCATCCACGTTTCCGCAATGTCCGTTTTCTACAGTCATCATTTACTAAAGATAATTTCATTGTATCTTTTTCTGTGTACAACTGAAAATTATTGTTTTGGCAGTTTTTTTTATGAGACGTATTAAGCCTATAGATTGTATTGCTTACTTGCATCATCAAGGTGTGCAAATTATGGCACCTCGCTTAACGTGTTTAATCCGTTCCAAAATTTTCAGATTTTTACTCGTGTAGTGAAATACAAAAATATACATAATATGTGTAGACAACTTTTTAAAAATGATGTAGCAGGTGCGACTTTTCTTCTCATCGTCACTCGTTATGCGAAACGTCGCTTGTTAAGCGAGTCAGTTTTCTTAAAAATCATTTTGCTCGTTATGCGAGGTTTCACTGTATTTAGCTACAGGCGCAAAATTTTCTTGCACTACATACACTTATACTTATCTATAAAGCCTCTATTTATACAACTTTATGTAATTATGGTCAAGTTTGAATTTAATGAAATCCCTAGTGAACGTATTTTTAAATGATAAAATATTCTTATTGGAGTAGACGAAAATCAAAATGAAGGTTAAAATGCGACGTTGACTTGTAATTATAAACATATATTGTTTCAAAAATAATTCAGAACTTTCAAATTTTAATGTCGTGATCCAAAAATGTATGTAATTATTGCATATTATTGATGTATAATAAATGAATGAATCTGTATTTCGTTTATAGAGAAAATTGGCAACCTATTACATCATGCATTTAGCAACGCCTCTGCAGTAGCAGGACGTTGAAGCAGGACTTGCGTTTCAGTATCTGAAAATAGTTCTTGGTGTGTGAATGTGTCTCAGCTATTAGCAGCTCCAGCCGCCATTGCTGTCTTCAAGGTAAGAAGTTTGAATTTATGAAATATATCTATGGTCAATAGCCATTTGCAGCACCTCACAAATCACTTAATTATTATGTCTAAATATTTACAATTATTACAATAAATATTTTATTATGAACATTTAGTTAATATTATAAAAATCTACAAAAGGCTATGTACCACATTTATTATATAAATGATATGTTATATGTTTTTGGCATTGCGGTTTCTTCTGGTTTCTTGTATCAATCTCAAGATGTTCGTTTTGGTCACGAAATTCATTATTTGCTATAAAGGGAAATATTCTGTCACGTTATACATTTATTAACTTCGAAGTAAGAATTTATCAATAATGTTTATGTTAGATGATTCATATCCTGTTTATTGTAAACTTATATTTGTTGCGAACTCGAGATTTTTTTTTATTATTTTGCTTAAGATAAGTTTCCTTCTACTCCAATCAGAATATATAAACAACTGTTGCCAACTACTGCTTTAAGGTGTACGTGACACAAGACGGGACTATTGTTGAAATCCTCGGGACGCGCGGAAAGGAGACATTTGATTCTGAAGTGATCTAGAAGAGTGCGGAGTGAGACGAACTCATATGGAAAGATCGGGAAATGTAAAGGACAACTGTTTTAGTGCAGTAACGCGGACGTTCGGTAAAAATGATTTGATAGTGATTTGCGGTAACATCATCCAAACACACGTAATTCACCCTTGGAAAATTCATCAGGAAGAAGGTGTTCATATCAGAAGGATCTACAAACAGCAGACAATTCAACTCATCATGGAACACCGGTGAGTACAGCTCAAGTTATTAGAAACAGAAAATTAAAGATGGAGTTTAGAAGAATATAAAACAGCTCCTGTATCATCTTTTTTGATAAATACGTGAAATTAATGTAATTTAAAGCAACAGTTATAATACGGTCGTATAGGATTTAATGGTATAATCCAAAGTGCATATATTACTGCGCTTGTAAAACAAAATGGCGACGTGTTAAGTCATGCTAAAGCAACGCCTTTGCAGTAGCGCTTTAGTATGTGAAAAGAGTTCTTGGTGTTTGCATGTGTCTCAACTACTTGAAACATTTCAGTCGCTTTTATTGAATTCGAGGTAAAGAGATTACATTCACAATTAAATATATCATTTCACAAATCAAATCACATTTGTTTCTAATGAAAATTGCAAACAGTTATTAAAATTAAGTTTAACATCCAACATATACATAGGGTTAGTACTACGATTAATATATAAACGATATTTTATATACTTTTTTTATTGCGACCTTTAACTTGTACTAGGTATTTTTTTAAGAAAGTAAAATTCATTATATATACATTTATTACCTTTAAAGTAATTCTTTATCAAAACTGTTTATTTTAGATGATTCATATCCTTCGTATAGTAAGCATATTTTTGTTGTTTATGCAAGTGTTCTTAATAGCTTTGTTTTGAACTCAAGACGCGGATTAATGTCGTCATCGAAGCGCGTGAGATAAGGTTCCTCCTACTCCAATTAGAATTTATAAACACAATATGCTAATTGAGATTAAGTAAGACAATGCGATAATTTATATAAGCCAAATATTTTCCATCTGTGAGAAGTTTATTC